TAGTTATGGTAATTTAAAATTTCTCTTTTACTTTAGTTCTGCTTTTTTCATTGTTAGTTTTGTATATTTATGGTTTTTCTAATCTCATGGATAAATACGAAAATATTTCTTAAAATTAATTTTACCGCCGAAATATATTGTCTTCCATGTATAATAGATGACGCTGAGTTGATTAATGAGGTGACCTATAAATTGTATAAAAAGTTAGGTACTTATCCGTTGGATGGCGTTGTACGATAAATAAATTCTCCAACAAAACTTCAACTATTCAGTTTCCATTATATTTTAAGTGTTATGTGATCTGAACTGTCCTAGGTATGGAAGGTACCCTTCATACCATAGTTCTAGGACCATAGACTTCTAATTCCGCTCCGCTCCCGCTGACAAAGCATAATCAAAACAAAGCTGTCAATTGTCAATTCGGTTTTAAGAAAAAACATACATATTTAATATTTACACGTGACAATATGTTATCTTTTTTATTATATTATGATGGATAAAAATATCGACATTGAAGAATTAAAAAATGATATAAGAAGACTTCGAAAAGAACTACTTTTTAAGGAACAGTTACTTCAAGAAAAATTGTTGGAAAAGGTAGTTTATTTTTAAATATAAATTTAATTCGTATATTCTATTGCACATTATGTTTGTAATTTATAGGACCGTACCAGTGTATATAATGATCAGCTTACCACTAGTGAAATTATTCAGTACAGTCGGCAAATGATAATGCCAGAAATGAGTTTAAAAGGGCAAACGGCATTGAAACATAGTAAAGTTCTTATAGTAGGAGCAGGAGGTTTAGGATGTCCTGCTGCTATGTATTTAGTCCGTGCAGGAATAGGTATATTATAATATAGATATAATATTTTGTATTGTTTACAAATTTCCTAACAAATTTTAGGTGAAATAACAATAATTGATTACGATGAAGTTGAACTATCCAACTTACATAGACAAATTTTATATACAGAATTTGATATCGGCACTGCAAAGGTACAGTCTGCGTATAATATATTAAAAAGGTAACATAGTGAAATCTTTGGAGTTTAGTTTACAAACATGTTATTTTTTAATTTTAACCTAACAATTTTAAGGTTTCAGGGTAAATAACCATGTTAAAATAATCCCATTGTGCCTTCATGTAAATAGAGATACAATAAAAGAAATTGTCGTTCGAAATAGGTACAATGTTGTAATAGACGGAAGTGATAATGTGGCAACAAGATATCTCTTAAATGATGTGTGCGTCATGAATGATATTCCTCTTGTATCAGGTAGTGCTTTACAAATGGAAGGTCAACTTACTGTGTATCATTACAAAGATGGACCCTGTTATCGTTGTTTGTTCCCGGTTCCCCCACCACCTGAAACCGTAACGAGTTGTGGGGATGGCGGTGTTTTGGGACCAAGTAAGGATCAGATTTTTTTGTTATAAAATATATTTTTTATGTTGGTCGTTGCAGTTCCTGGAGTAGTGGGTGTTCTTCAAGCGTTAGAAACAATAAAACTTCTTATAAATTTACCAGGTGTGCTTTCTAGCCGTTTATTGCTGATAGATGGGTCAAGTGCAACATTTCGAAGTGTAAAACTTAGGTCAAGGAACCCTGGCTGTGCAGTATGTGGTGACCAACCCACTATAACATCTTTGATAGACTATGAGCAATTCTGTGGATCTAAGGGTTATGACAAGGTGTTCTATTACTTAAAAATATTTTTCATTAATGGAATAATTTTTTTTTTTTAATTTTAGACGGATAATATAGATATTTTGGAGCCAGAGGAAACGATCGATGTTGAGGAATTTGCTAGAGTAAGCAAATATAATATTGTACTGGATGTTCGACCAGTAGAGGAGTACCATATGTGCTATTTACCTACCACCATAAATTTTCCATTTACTAGGATGCAGAGAGACGATTGGGTTGAGGAAATTAAGAGATTGTTTCAGCGGTGCAGCTCACCGAACTTGGAAAAAGGTAAGTTTTAAGAAATAAACGGTTTCAAAACGTACATTGTAAATATACATATAGGTATTTTTTTATATTGCAGTATACGTTTTATGTAGAAGAGGAAATGATTCGCAGAGAGCCGTTTGTCATTTTAAAGAGAAGTTGAAAGATACTGGCATTCAGTTTTACAATGTTAAAGGAGGACTCTATGCTTATGCCAAGAAAGTAGATCCAAGTTTTCCAATATATTAATTTTTTACAAACGTAGTAAGGTCGATTACTGAAATGACTTTCTGTACTTTTGATTTGAGTTTTGTTTTAGTAAGTATTTGTTTATTATCTTAAGATGGTTAAGTTTGTTTACTCCTTTATTTTCTACTCTTTAATAAATTAATTGCATTGCTACAAATTTTTCTATTTTCCCTTTATATTTGGACAAGTTTTTAATGGTCCTAAATTTTATTATTATACATTTTGGCAGTTTTGATAACCAGACTACAAAGCATAAACTAGAGAAAAACCAAATTTGATACATGGTGTGGGTGTACCAAGAGCATTAATCGACAGTAAATAGAGTTCAATTGAAGCATTTTAAATGGTTGATGATGCACCATTAAAATGTGACAGAATTTTCTAACCTTTTGGTGGACTTAAAAAATTACTATTAAATACTTTATTTTATGGGGAATTTAGTTCTAAAAAAACTATCTTACTTTTGTTTGTTGTCAGCAGTTATTGGATGGAGTAGACCTCAATTTTCGACGAAGAATAAATTTGTGCCTAACAGAAAATAGAACAATTTCTATAACTTATTAGTGCAAATTGTATGTTATTTCTATTGTTTAATTTGTTTGTTTTTCTATTAAATTATTCTTACTCCAACCAGTGAACACTATAATCGGCGGCACCTTTGATGTTTTGTGGTCACGCTAGAGTTGACCGATTTGAAGGAAACACAATCGTTTACACAGAGAAGTTATACTTTTGAATACATGTACATACACTGAATTGTGATAAAATGTAGACAAATAATTCTGGACACAGTGTCCAGAATTGGTGATAAATTTATTGAAATAATAGAGGCTAAGGGAAACAGAAAGTCCACTAAATAGTAAATTGTAGATAATTCAGTCGTTATTCTTTTGGCATCATTTAAAATGTCAAAAAAAGTAGCCTTTTATATCCGCCTATGCTATTTTCCTAATTATTTGTTTTATATTTTCATAATACTATAACATTGATACTTGAATGGTAAAACCCTCTTTTAAAAAGCTCTTTTTTTAGCTTCAAATTTACAGACTACCCCAAAATGACGAAAAATGCTGCTAAAAATTATACCTACAGATTTTGTACGAGTAAAAAGACAATTAATTTTTATTCAAATTTGAGACATAGTTTTACACATTTTATTGTGAAACAGGGTAGCCTTAAAAAGGGGAAGCCAGTCCTCAATGCAATAAAATATAAATTGGTTAAATTCGCATAAACTAGGTACCGTTAAAAATGCATATCTTAAAACACATTTCATTGTTTGAATTATTTTGTGCCACATTCACCTTTCATAATCCTTAGGGAATCTAAAAAGGGTTAATCCTTTACTAGTTTTGGATGAACAACCGCGAAAAGTAGAATAATAACCAGACATTTTACTGATTTTAAGTTCATTCTAAATGAAAACGAAATATAATATAAATAAATCCACTATCAATTAACGTTGTACAACACAACTTTCCACCGCCAAAAAACTATTTACTAATTACTGGTTGTTCCTATTTATATTTTGCGGCTCTGACAGCAACACATAACACAACCCAGTTCGCGCATGCGTATACGAAAGCTGAACGCAGAAAGCACAGAATAATATTAGTCCACTTGGAGAAAAAAAAATTGTTACCTGGACTTTTAACTTTTATAAGTGGAAATGGTAAAAGGGCTTAAAATAAATGCGTGAGCAGGGGCGGCGGAGAGTTGATTTGGGGGGTTGAAAAGTTATGAAAAATTGTATCATTGGGATTTCTGGAGAAAGTTGACGTCAAAAAAAAATATCTAATACAAAAGTTGTAGATCATGCAAAATTCTATAAAAAAAATGCGATAAACAGGTTTTTTTCTGATTTTTCGTTTTTTATTTCTCATTTCCGCAAAAACAATTTAATTTTAACGAAACTTGGTGAAAGTATACCTTTCTCTGTCTTAAATAACCTCAAATTTTTCTAGATAAAAAAATCAAGAATCTGAGATATTAATTTTTTTCGGCCTGAAACACTTTTTTCAAAGAAAAATTCTAGGTACTTAAAAAAAATCGTACAGAGTTCTGCGAGTACCTAATAATTTTTTTCTTTTGACATACTTTTTGGTGAAATAAAAAAATCTGTAATAACAGTTCAAAAACATGCTCAAAAATGCAAAAAAAATAAAAAATCACTTGCAACAATGAATTTTTCAGTTATTGTTGATAATTTGTTTAAATTAAAAAACATTCAAAAACTGATTACACCATTCAATTCTNTTGTGAAACAGGGTAGCCTTAAACAGGGGAAGCCAGTCCTCAATGCAATAAAATATAAATTGGTTAAATTCGCATAAACTAGGTACCATTAAAAATGCATATCTTAAAACACATTTCATTGTTTGAATTATTTTGTGCCACATTCACCTTTCATAATCCTTAGGGAATCTAAAAAGGGTTAATCCTTTACTAGTTTTGGATGAACAACCGCGAAAAGTAGAATAATAACCAGACATTTTACTGATTTTAAGTTCATTCTAAATGAAAACGAAATATAATATAAATAAATCCACTATCAATTAACGTTGTACAACACAACTTTCCACCGCCAAGAAACTATTTACTAATTACTGGTTGTTCCTATTTATATTTGGCGGCTCTGACAGCAACACAATACAACCCAGTTTGCGCATGAGTATACGAAAGCTGAACGCAGAAAGCACAATAATATTAGTCCACTTTGAGAAAAAAAAAATTGTTACTTGGACTTTTATAAGTGGAAATGGTAAAAGGGCTTAAAATAAATGCGTGAATTTCCGAAAAAAATGCGAAAAACAGGTTTTTTCTGATTTTTCGTTTTTTATTTCTCATTTTCGCAAAAATAATTTAATTTTGACGAAACTTGGTGAAAGTATCACTTTCTCTGTTTTAAATAACCTCAAATTTTTCTAGATAAAAAAATCAAGAATCTGAGATATTAATTTTTCTCGGCCTGAAACACTTTTTTTTTAAAGAAAAATTCTACTTAAAAAAAATCGTACAGAGTTCTGCGAGTACCTAATCATTTTTTTCTTTTGACATACTTTTTGGTGAAATAAAAAAAAAATCTGTAATAACAGTTCAAAAACATGCTCAAAAATGCAAAAAAAATTTAAAAAATTACTTGCAACAATGAATTTTTCAGTTATTGTTGATAATTTGTTTAAATTAAAAAACATTCAAAAACTGATTACACTATTTAATTCTACGGAAAAAAATTAAAAATAAACTCATTGTTTGACCCAAAACTTTATTTTTGTACAGTATTGCTATAAACATCTAAGTCGAATTACAAATGCACAAATGATAAATTATCTCTGGAAGTCGTTTTATTTTTATTTCTGGCTTTATTTGAAAACGATTTTTAAATAAATTGCATATTTACATTATAACTTTTTTCGCTCTATCTAATGGCGTCAACATTTTTGCAATCCGACGTTTCGTCTTCGAGGGACCATCATCAGATTATTATTTTTTAAATATATCGCTGCTATTTTTATGACAAAATCTAGTCATTTTTAATTCTGTAGTAGATGATATTACCACTGTAAAAAGGTTGTGTCTATTGGAGGAGAGAGAGAGAGAGGAGAATAAAAGTCAATACAGCACAAAATTTTCAACAATTTTTTTAATCCATAATTTAAAAAATTGTACCTAATAAAAAAATAATACGAATTTATGAAATATTTTATTATTTCTAATTAGTATTGCTAACAGTAGTAAAAAAATGTTGGATATTTTGTGCTGTATTGACTTTTATACTGTCCAATCCAATCCAACAGATATTTTGAAAGCGTTCAGAGCCGTACTCAGGAAAACTTTTAAATTACCTATAGTTAAAACAAGCTAAAAACTTTTTAAGCGATTACAATAGTAATATCCTCTAATTCAGAATTAAAAATGACTTTAGATTTTGTCATAAAGATAGCAGCGACGTATTTAAAAAAATTAACCCGATGATGGCCCCTCGAAGACAAACGTCGGATTGCAAAAATGTTGACGCCATTGTATAGAGCGAAAAAAGTGGCATTGTAAATATATAATTTATTTTAAAATTCATTTTCAAATAAACCAGAAAAAAATTCAACAATTTTGCAAAATTTTGGGTTTTTCCAGATATTTCCGGAACTACCCGAAATTTTAAAACTTTCTAAACAGCATATTGTTAGGTATAAAAAAACACAACTTTTTTATAATCTGAGCCACCGCGTATCTCTTATCGTTTCCTAGATCCTAATGCTATCCCATCTTTATCTTGGACACACTATATCTATGAATTCATCAAACTTTAAAAAAAATAAGTACACTAATCGATCCTAAGGAAAAAAAAACATTATTTATTCTATTTATTCACCATTCGACTTATGTTTATAGCAATACTGTATAAAAATAGTTTTGGGTCAAACATTGAGACAGTTTTTTTTTGTATTTTTTCCGTACGATTGAATGGTGTAATCAGTTTTTGATTTTTTTTTAAATTTAAACAAATTATCAACAATTACTGAAATTTATTGCTGCAAGTCATTTTTTACTTTTTTGCATTTTTGAGCTTGTTTTTGAACTGTTATTACAGATTTTTTTATTTCACCAAAAAGTATATTTCTAAACGAAAAAAATGATTACCCGCAGAACTCTGTACGATGATTTTTTTAAGTAGAATTTTTCTTTGAAAAAAAGTGTTTCAGGCCGAAAAAAATGAATATCTCAGAAACTTCTAGATTTTTTAACCAAAAAAAAATTAAGGTTATTTAAGACAGAGAAAGGTATACTTTCACCAAGTTTCGTAAATATTAAACTATTTTTGCGGAAATGAGAAATAAAAAACGAAAAATCAGTGAAAACTGTTTTTTGTATTTTTCTCGTAAATTTTGAGGTTATGTTAAAAAATGACCTACAAAAGTTGTAGATTTTTGCATGATTGATGATGATGTACTTTTTTGTTTGACGTCAACTTTCGCCAGAAATCCCAATGATACAATTTTTCATAACTTTTCAACCCCCCAAATCATCCGGCCGCCGCCCCTGCTCACGCATTTATTTTTTATTTTTTGTTTATTATAAGCCCCTTTACCATTTCCACTTATAAAAGCCCAGGTAACAATTTTCTTTTTTTTTTCCCTCTAAATGAGTTATTTTGATCGGTCTATATAACAACCAGAAATCCTTGTCGCTTTTCGTTGGTGTAGTGTTCTCTGCTCCAACTCTTTCCCGATCAAGTTTGATATTTAAATTCATAGCCAACTTTTGATTGTTCGATGATTTTAAATAACAGCTAAAATACGTATTATTAGTTATTCGTGTTTTTCTTGAAAACTACCAAGAGTAAAAAAAGTTTTAGAATTAAATTCCCCATAAAATAAAGTAATAATTTTTCAAGTCCACCAATGTGTTAAAAAATTCTGTCACATTTTAATGGTGCATTATCCCTTATCAACCCTTTAAAATGCTTCAATTGAACTCTGCTTACTGTCGATTAATGCTCTTGGTACACTCACACCGTGAACCAAATTTGGTTTTTCTAAGTTCAAGTATAACTGAGATATTGATTTTTTTCAAAATTTGAAACTCGCCTTTCAAAGCCTATAAACTAAAGTAATACAAACTTTTAATTGTATTAATTACGCATTGCTTGAAAAATATTTGCGAGCCTGAGCATGCGTTCATGTCAGCTGATTTATTCCATTACAGGGTGGAAAAAGAACTAAAGGCAATAAAAAAAGTGATTTTGACGACTTCAAAAAGTGTCACAAACGCATCCAATAAAAATAGATATTTTGGAAATGAAAGTTGAAGATTTTTTTGAGTGACCAGATTTTTAGTTCAATGTAAGTACCTACTTACGTACTGAAAAATACTAAATGTAATTCTAAACGTCCGTAGGCACGTTAAAGATTTTTGTAAAATAAGAGTGGATTAAGCACAATGTATAAAAAACAACATTTGAACATACTGAAAATAAATTAGTTACATTTTTTAAGAAAAAAATCATTGAAGAAGGGATACCGGACCCAAAAATGAAAAAAAACCTAGTGTTCCACAGGAAAAAGTGAGGCTTTAAATTAATTAATTAAAAATTTTATATCGAGTAGCAATTATAAGGCTTAAATTTTGGTCATTTACCAATTTCTGAAACAGACACTGATACCTAATGATATTTCAAATCAATTTTTTTTAAAACGTTTCTTATTAATTCAAACATTGCGTAGGTTAGTTTACCTTAAATTAATAATTTTATGATACTTTTATGACACGTGTTACTGTTTTTTTTAGTGAAATAATAAAATTAGTTGTTTTTATTGACAAGTCGTTATTTTTTTATAACATGATTTTTCTGACATATCTTAGTCAGAAGTTAAAAATAATATTTTTATAACATTAATAAATAATAGAACCTTTTAACTTTTTTAATCAAATTTGAAAATTTTTTGATTTTCACTGACAATTTCTCTAAGAATTTTCGTGTGTTGAATTTACTTACCATTTAAGCGGTATTTTTGCGTGTAACTATTCATTAGCTCAAGTTTCATCAGCCTACGTCAAACATATGGTGAGATATTGAATAAATGTGATATTTTATACCCCGACATGATGTATTTTCAAAACCAGCTTCAGATTTTTGACTTAAAATTTTTTGCTCTAAAAGAAACAACTTCCTAAAATTATAACGTAGATTTAGAAAACGCTAGGTATAATCTTATAAGTTCTCATGTTGAATTTGTACGACTAATGTTTAAATCTATTACACAAAACACTTAAAGATAAAAAGTGTGGATTGCTCTTTGAATGCATCCAAGAATTATATTTTACGACATTTGTTATTTATTTTCATTACTGGCGCTTTATATAATTATTTGATAAATTTCGAAATTCAGACGATAAGCAGACACATTTAAAAATCATGGTATATTTAACACATAATTATAAAAACAAAATTCAAACAAGATTAATAAATAAATATAAAAGTGTAAAATAGCTAATAAGTATCTTGAGAGTTTCTGATTCCATAAAATAAAAAAAAAATAATTGATTGTATAAAGATCAAAACCTATAAATTTCTGAAGAAGTTCGCTAAGCATTTAAAAAATAAATCGAGCCTAATAATTAGGTTTCTTTTTATTTTTGGTAAAATACCTAAATGTTTTCCATCCATCAATCACAATTTGACTGTTTTCAAAAACGAAAGACACTATAATTTAAAACGTTGGCAACGAACACAGCGTTAACAACGTTAATATGTTCGTTACCTACCTAGAATTGTATTTTACTATCTTCCTATCTTCTAACAGAGCTGACAAATTAATCCACAATTTTGTAGCTGCATGTGGAATTATTATTCATCAAATTTTCACAGAATTTTAGGTTTTTCCACTGATATAATTTTAAGTAGGTATCACATTGTCACTTGCCTTATCGCACGAGTGTTATTCATAGGTATTCATTTTCGTATAGCTGATTTCTTGAGATATTCTTAAATTCGATTCATCACAAAAGTGACTTATTTCTTGATTGTGGTCATAGTAATGCCGTAAGTATCTTGGCTTTCTTTAGTTCTCTTAATTTGGTTGATTGTAATTTAGTGATAAACCTATGGACGGTATACTATTAACGACACCGTTCGTCCTTTTTTGCACGTTATCTATGACGGAATTTCCGTACTTAACCGTATTGCTGACAGCGCCAATAAGTCCATCCATGATTCTTTTCGAAGGGGATCTCTCCAAAGATTTTGACGCTTCGAATCGTTTGGTTATGGCATATTTTAAGATGATTTTATTAAACATTTCTGGACTTTCCTGGTGAGGAAAATGTTCTGCTCCTTCAATAATTTTCATGTGAAATTTTTCACAGTACTCTGTTGATTTCACTATACCCTCTAATGTAACGTATTCGTCTTTATTTCCAGTTATAAGGATAACTGTTGGCTCGATATGATCCACATCTTCATTTATCTTAAGGAAAGGAAGATTTCTGTAGTAGTTTATTGGACCTGTCCAATCTTCTTTCCGGCTGAAACTGTATTTGTAAGCTTCCAGAAACACATCATTCGCTGGTAGGTGCTTGTAATACTGGTCAATGATCTTCACGTCATCTTTCAACGCATCAATCTCTGGCAAGTAGGGCATTTGCACGAAATTCAGCCACTGATAATTACAGGTGGTGCTTAAAGATTTCCAGTATACATTGGGATGCGGACACGACACTGCGAAGAACTTGTTGACCAAATTCGGTGACTGATGCACCAAGTACCAACCTACCATGGCACCTAGATCGTGCCCTATTATTATGCAGTTTGTGACGCCTAGGGCGTGAATGAACTGCTTGATTTCATCCAGAATGGTGTCTATCTTGTAGCTGGTCCTCCATATTGGTTTATCGGAATCTCCGAAGCCTTTTAGATCCAACGCGACCACACGGAAATACTGGGAAAGCGTCGGAATTTGGTACCTCCAGCTCAACCAGCAGTCTGGGAAGCCATGTAGGAGAAGAATAAGGGGTTGATCTCTAGAACCAGATTCTACGTAATGTAATTTAACACTCTGTAAAAAAAAAGAAAAAAGTCAGCATTCTTGAAAATTGATATAAAGCCATGAAATCGATATAAATGACTTCAATTCTGAATGCAAATACAATTTTTGTTCGTAGTGGGATAGATGACCTTGTGATCTCAAGACATTTCTCCACTACAGAAACTTTGAAACGTAAAAAAATCACTTAATGAGCAACATTTGTGACAGATTTAATTTTGAAGATATGATGATTTTATAATTAATGTTATATTTAGAAGTTAACACATTTTCGTTTAAAATAACTTTTTAAAATCTTCACTTAAAATTGCAACTTAATGGGGAAATGTCTTTTGCCAAAGATTCATCAAATTTGACCGAAAATCAATTTCCATAAGGATCCTGCGGGGTTCTTTACTATTATAATAATAATTTAACAAACAGTATTTTCAGAAAGAACAGTAAAAAATCTACTGGAATTTTTAAATTTTAATTTAGAAAACAATTAACTTATTTCGTGTTTGTCCTTAAAGATAACAAGCGGACTTTATCTTCTATTGTACAGAGTACATATATATATAAATATTTTTGTAAAAGCAATAAAAAGTCACATTTTTATCACTTTAGTCGATAATAAAAACTTATATGTTTGCCCGCGAAGTTGTTGAGCAGAGAAAATATAAAACTATAGTCAAGCGCTATGAAAAAATTCTTGCTTCGGTATAGTGAATGACGAAATATTTTCAAAACCTTTGAAATAGTGCCTGAGTTTTTTAAGTTAGATTGCTTATAAGTTGTAAAATAAGAGGTTAAATAAACTTTTAAAATTAGAAAATAAGGACTTGGAAAAAATAAATTAAATATTTGCATACCTCTCAAGATACATGGTGTTGAAGTTTAAACATGTAATATCTGTCTATTTAAACATAAAATAGTTTTTTTCACACTAAATCAATTGATTTAAAACAACTAAAGCTATTAATTTCATGAGAAAAATGAGTTTTTTTTTCGAAGTACGGCTTGAACTGTCATGTAGGTAATTATCAATAGTCCAAACACATGGTTGGAAAAATTTTTACTTCTTCTTTGACTAAAGTTCCTACGCTAATGATATTTGTAGAATTTCAATTAGTAAATTGTATTTGAAACAATATCAACTATTTTAGAAACGAATAATTATTGAATTATTTATTTTTTATTTTTATACAACGGTTATTTCTAAACTTTATACAGGGTGTCTCATAATTAGCTGCCAACCCTGAACAGGCCAATTTTATGATCAAATCTAAATAAAAAAGTTCATATGAACATGGGTCCGGAAATGCTTCCTAAGGGCACAGGGACCCATTGAAGAGGGAGGAATGGAAATCATTTTTTTGCAATATCTCTCAATCGCGTTGTGATAAATGAATGAAATTTGGTATACACAGCTAAATTTTGATGAGCAATTTGATGGACTAATCCATTTATTTCCACAAGGTCCATTGGGGTGGGTACGGGGGGGCCCTTGGTACTTTGCGTGTGTAACTTTTTCATCTTTGACTTTTTAACAAATTGGACAGCAAATTCCGTTTTCCCGAACTGTTTTACGTTAAAAAGGTACTCTTGTTTCAAATCGTTATCTTTAACGGTTTCTGAGAAAATCGCTCTTGAATTAATCCCACTTTGGTCAATTTCATAGTAATTTAAACAAAAAAAAATATTTTGTTTCAATTTAATCTAGTTTTAATAAAAAAATAATAATAAAAAATTAAATTAAATAAAAATTAATCCTTTAAATGGAAAAGAGAGGAAAGGAAAATTATTATTATTATTTTTTGTTTAAATTACTATGAAATTGACCAAAGTGGGATTAATTCAAGAGCGATTTTCTCAGAAACCGTTAAAGATAACGATTTGAAACAAGAGTACCTTTTTAACGTAAAACAGTTCGGGAAAACGGAATTTGCTGTCCAATTTGTTAAAAAGTCAAAGATGAAAAAGTTACACACGCAAAGTACCAAGGGCCCCCCCGTACCCACCCCAATGGACCTTGTGGAAATAAATGGATTAGTCCATCAAATTGCTCATCAAAATTTAGCTGTGTATACCAAATTTCATTCATTTATCACAACGCGATTGAGAGATATTGCAAAAAAATGATTTCCATTCCTCCCTCTTCAATGGGTCCCTGTGCCCTTAGGAAGCATTTCCGGACCCATGTTCATATGAACTTTTTTACTTAGTTTTGATCATAGAATCGGCCTGTTCAGGGTTGGCAGCTAATTATGAGACACCCTGTATAATAACTCGAAATCTCGGAATTGTGGAAAATAAATAATAGCATTATTCTTAAAAATAACGTTAGCAATAATAGTGGTGCCAAAATTTTGCCCTTCTTAGTGATGAACCTCCCAGTATTTCCTTCACTGGAAGACATTTATTTTATTGAATTTTTGTTTTTAATGAATTTTGCCAATTACTGACTGACTGAAATTATGAAAATAATTTATAAACAGACCCTACTTTTACCAATCATAAACAACAGGGTAAGGAATTGGCTAATTTTTGTCCTTCGGACATTTACAATTCCATATAAAAATGATCTTCATAAATCAATTTTTTTTTTAATTCTGGATAAAAAATTGTTCTGATTATATAATTATTAGGGATAGTGTAGGGAGTTTAACAGATGCTAGTTAAGACTGTGTTTAATAAATAAACCCCACAAGAGATTTTTCCAAGCAATCACTCTTAAAAAAGTCGCTGTAGACCATGGGCCATTATATAAAAAAAATCATTCAAATCCTGCTTCCTAAAAAATTTTTATAAACCCATTGTATTTTGACCCTTGACTCACTTAAGTTTTATAATCTCAAATGATCCAAAGAATCACTTCCTGAAGTTATACCAAAAAAACAAAGAAAACACTCCGTATATGAATCTTAGAAATTTGTATTGTTTTTTCTTTCTAAGGACTTCAAATTATGAAGATGTTTTGTAAAATATAAAAAAATAATAACTAAAAGCAGTAAGTAAAGTAATGAAATCTTAATATAACGTTTCGTGTTGATTTTTTCTATAATAAGCTACAAAACTTCATAGAGGCTTGCAGATGTGCCTCTATTCTAGAAGCTTGCGTAATGTTTTAAAGAATATCAGAGAGTTTTACTATAGCTTAATTTTGAAAATAGTCGTATGTATGTTCATATGTATGCCTGGGACATTGTGTATAAATGCACGCAGTTAACAAATGGCCGAATTAATAATTGAAAAAGTGACATAATTTTTACCGGCTAACGTGCGTGTTTACGTTAACCTTAAAAATTATCAGGCGTATCTTTTTGGTAATCGAACCATGACTCTTTCAAACTCACGACGAAGCGCATGGAAAGTCATACATGTATATAATAACTGACCTTTAACTTTACATATTTGTGTTGGCCTAGGGTCGAGTCCACTAAACAGGATGGCGGGTTGTCCCGTACTTGGATGCTGTGGAACCCTGCGGGATCCCAGATCCATTTGGCGATCCTCTTGCAAACCACCCAGACGCCGAAGATGAACGACAGGACGTGTATACGGCAGGTGTCCCACACGGAGATGGATTGTATGCGCATTTCTTTGACCATTTCACTGTTTTACTGCACTATCACACACTTGGGTTGTGGTCAGACTGAGGCTGTGCCGCTGAAAGCAGCCGATAAGGACAAAACGATCAAAGGTCATCGCACGATGCCGAGCCGAATGGTGTTTTATCTATTATATCGGAATTGGATGATTGTACCTATGTGGCTCGCGGTGACAGTATTGCTTTTTACTACTCGTATGAGATATGTTGGTCACTTCATCAGCACCTAGGTCATTCGTTTCCACGTTGTTAGATGTCAACATGTTTTGAGATCTCCAATTCATGTTTACTTTTAATTGATTACGCAAAAAGGTTAGCCATAGGAGGGTGCGGCAGTCTGAAACTATAACAATAAGTAACGAGCGTTCAAATAAAAACGTGGTCGAAGTTGGCTCTGACACATTGGACGTAGGAGTTGCTTATAGCGACCAACTTAACCTCATTTCTCAACGAGCTGTATAGCAGCTGTCAGTTTCAATAACGTTAATGACTATATAACTTTATTTTAAAGAATAATCGTGACAACAATAACAAACAATTAAAGGAGCTGCGGAAAGTGTCCCCCTCCTTGTTCCAAGCACTTTTCACACCTGTTCCTCAAAGAATTAAAGACATTTTCTAAGATGCTCGGGGTACTGTTAATTTCACGAATCTTGTCTATAAGTCGAGCCTGCAGATGGTTTAAATCAGGAATAGGCAATTCAAAAATAGTGTTTTTAAGGTAAGGCCACAAAAAGAGATCACCGGCGTAATATCACATGACCTCGGTGGAAATTCATGTTCAGCATTGAGACTTATTAGTCGATTTTGGAAAACTTCCCTCAACATATTCATCGTCTCGCCTGCCGTATATGCCCTTGCGCCATCTTGTTGAAAGTAAAAGTTTGTAATTTCGTTTTCTTCCAGCTGGTTAACAAAAGGAGCGATAATTTCTTCTCTATACCTTTGCGCAGTAAGAGTACCATTAAAAAAAATAGGTCCATAAATCCTCCTTCGATTGAGAGCACACCAAACTCCAATTTTTTTAGCGTGTAGAGGGCCCTCGACAAAAAAGTTATCTGGTTTTTTCAGAAGACCACATTCTCATATTACGTAACCACTTAAATGAAACCAGGCTTCATCAGAAAAAAAGGTGATATTATGAAGTTCACCGTAGTTGTTTAAAAACCATTCACAAAATACAGCCCGTCGCGGAAAATCAACTTCATGAAGTTCTTGCTGACAAGTTAAACGATAGGAGAACAAACGCAAATCTTTTTTTAACACTGTGTGGCAGGTGCCGACTGATACTCCCACCATTTGTGATAAAACACGTACAGAAGTTCTTGGCGCATTTTCCATTATTTGTTGGACATTTTCTTTTAATTCTTCAGTCCGCTTTTTAGGTCCGCCGCTTCCTTCTTTTCTTGTACACTGCCCGTTTCACGAAAAACATTAACACAACGCTGAACTGCACTTTGAAAAATTTTGTACTCAACAACGCCGGGAAATTGATTTTGAAATTCTATGAAACATTCCTCAATAAAGTTCTAAAGTAGGACTTTATGATAAACACTTTTTGTTCTTGAGAAAACGCCATTTTAAACGCTTTTTAAAACGAAAATATTCAAATTGATAGCGGCGATATAGCGCTTTGACAGATGACGTTTAAGTTCATTTGCTATACGCTACGCCCTACGTCCAAATTTTCAGAACCAACTTGACCACGTTTTTATTTGAACTCTCGTTACTTATTTCTAGTTTTTTTTTTGCAAAAACATTCCATATGTGGTGTGTTGTCAATTGAGTCAAATTGTAAATAGGTTGGAATCTCATCACTACTATTATCGTAAAAAATTCAAGACTATAATAAATTACTAATACCCAATTTTGAAATTATATTGTAACATTTATGTCCTCTAAATACAAGAAAGTGTTCCACCACCACCATACTGGAGTCAAAATATACAAAGTATTTAGGTACACAAGTCAAATAAAATAGAGCGGTACACAAAGAGATTAAGGAAATTAATAAATATAAATATAAAAACTATACAATACTACAAACCAAAATAAAAATAATGTATAGTTAAAATTGGAATAAAATAATAAAGTAATACTAAATCACTCGAAAATATCATGGGTAAATTGTCGATCAAGAGTTCTTCCGGTACAAAAAATATTTTATCCAACAGAAACCTTCTTTATCCTGTATTTAAATTTTTTGCAACTACCGTTTCTGATTTTCCCAAGTCTCAATTATTCCCTCTTACTATTTCTGATATAGTAACAATGAATCTCAATTCTCAATTCAATGAATTTTTGTTTGCAGTTGTCTCTACATTTCAATCGGGGTATTATCCTCATGGCTCCTCTTATTTGTAGAGCAAACACATCTGCAGTTGAATTAGAGTTGCCCCATATCAAAATTGCATACATCATACATATAATATAACTGCATGTAATAAGACTGTGGTAAGCTGACTTTAAAAGTTTGTGGTGACCCTTAATACATTTTTAGATTTTCTTAAATATGTACGTAGTTAATGTGACATGTGACGATAATTTAGAGTCTAAATATGTATATCCTTAATTGAATCTTTGGCTTCTCTTATGCCAAATATTACGGTTTCTGTCTTAGTAGAATTTAAATTTAAATGATTAGGAAAAACCAGTTTTGAATCATTAGTTCAGCTTGACGGGTTTTTCTTATCAAGTGAGCTTTGTTTCATCAAACGGAATAGTCAAAACTGAATCATTCGCGCAATAAGGTAAACAATAGAACCGAAGCAGTATCCGTGTGGTACTCCTGCAGAGAGACATTGAAGTAGTATTGTTATGGCGACATATCATTCTATTATTGAGGTGTGAATATGAATATATAACTAACTACTCTCAAAATAATCGGAGGTGACGTATTTTTAGAAAACTTTGTATGAAACTATTACATTTAAATAAAGCAGATTTTAAAAATGAATTTAAGGGGGTAAACAATTCTATGAGCGTATAGCAAAAAATTTATTTCTACCGACAACTATATTCAGTAATAGTATATTACCTAATAAGTGTTGTAAAAAGCATTTTACGCACGAATGGAAAAGTTATTCTATGAGTGCGTAATTGCATTTACACCACGTACTATACTTTACCTACGCCCACTATTGTAAATACTTAAAAACACAGCGTCTGCGATCAATGTAAGATTCCTATTACGTACGGTAAAAAATCGCACAGCTTGGTTAAAAATTGTAAAGTTTTCCTAGCAACCGCCTAGCAACGATCAATACAAACAGTATTGTATTGACCGTACGGAAAACTACGATTTTTTTACCAAGTTGTGCGATTTTTTTACCGTACGTAATAGGAATCTTACATTGATCGGACACGGTGTGTTTTTAAGTATTATATATAGTAGTGGTCGTAGGTAAAGTACTTTACAATTGACGTTTTAATTTGTGTAAGCATAAACTTTCGTAGAGAGGGACGGTAAAATATTTTTATTTTACATTTTACTACAAAAATTATTACATTAAGTTTTTTGTACTGGATGATTAGAAAATGTGTAAATATAAAAATCTTTATACAATAAAAAACTGCCTTTGTTTTAAAAAGTACGGAAATATGTTATTAACAAAAGGTGCTCACAATTGAAATATATATTATAATTTGAATATTTATATGAATCGGCCTAGTTTCATAGAGACGGACGGTAAAAAATGTTTAGATTTTATTTTGTGACAAAAAGGCAGTGTTCATTCTAATTTTTATTTGTCTTTAACGTGCGGTTGTCATGGAGAATTTTCACATTGCATTTACAGGCCGATTAGAAAATGGATAAATATAAAAATCGTTCGAGAATAAACTGTCTTTGTTTTTAACAGTACAGAAATATGTTATTAAGGAAAGTTGTTTAGAATTATTATTTCAATGCTTCTATGAGTCGGCTTCCTTTCATAGGAACGGAAGGTAAAAAATGTTTGTCATTTTAGGAGAAAAAAGCATTCTCCATTAAAATTTCTGCTTGTCTTTAAAATGCGGTTGGCATGAAGAAATTTCACCTGGCATGTTACAGGGGCTCAGAAAATCGGTAAATATATAAAAATTTTCCAGAATAAACTGCCTTCGTTTTTAACAGTACAGAAATATGTTAAGTAAGGAAAGTTCTTTAGAATTGACATTTATATTTATTTTTACGAGAAAAAGGCATTGTTCATTTAAATCTTTTGCTTGTCTTTAAAATGCGGTTGGGATAGGAGAATGTTCACCTTGCATGTACAGGGTATCAATAAATTGGTAAATATATAAATCGTTTTGTTTTTGACATTACACAAATATTTTATTGAGGAAAGTTACTTACAATTGATAGACACGGACGGTACAAAATTTTTATTTTTCGTTTTACTACAAAAAGGTACTCTTCATTAAAATTTTTGTTTCTGTTTAAAATGCGGTTGGCATGTAGAACTTTCACTTGTTATGTACAGGGTGATCACAAAATCAGTAAATATAAAAATTCTTCAAGATTAAACTGCCTTTGTTTTTAACAGTATACAAATTTATGTTATCCAGGAAACTTGTTTAGAATTGACAATTATATTTATTAAGTTTTCCTTCGCCTAGGAATATTTCCTGGAATTTTCCCCGGACATTTCCCCGGACTTTTTTCCCGCACTTAGCCCGGACTTTTCCCCGGATTTTTCCCTGGACTTTTTTTCCCGAACCTTTTCCCGGACTTTTCCCCGGACTTTTTTCACCGGGCTTTTTCCCCGGACTTCTTTCCCGGATTTTTTCCTCGGATTATTCCCCGGACCTTTTTACCCGGACTTTTTCCCAGGATTTTTCCCCGACTTTTACCCGGACCTTTCCCCAGACTTTTTTCCCGGACTCTCCCACGGACTTTTTCCTCGGACTTTTTTCCAGGACTTTTCCCCAGACTGTTTCCCAGGACTTTTTCCCCGGGCTTTTTTACCCGGACTTTTTCCCCGCACTTTTTCCTCGGAATGTGCCCCCGGATTTATTATATTTTTTTTAATTTGAAATAGTCTGAAAGATATTTGCTATAAATATT